CCCCAAAACCCCAAAACCCCAAAACCCCAAAACCCCATTGATTAGTAATTTTTTTAATAAAGTAGGTTTTTTTAAGAAATAAAATATAATTGAAATGGATATCCAATAATTAATCAATGCCTATAACTCAAACAATTCAAGTGTGATCAGCAATCATTAGTAAGTTGATGAGAAGCAAGCTTACAAGCATTCTAAGACACATGGCAAATTTTACTAAAAGAAAAACCAGGTTGACCCAGAACACAGAAGATCAGCCAACGTTCATTCATATCAGGTGAATGAAATTTCATAAGATGATAAAAGATAGATTCATACCGGAATTGATTAAAGCTAAAATAATCAAACAGTTAAGTTGGAGTTTTTCTTGAACAGTTAAAACAGAGAAAGAGAATTGTAAATCAAAAGAGATGTTGATTAGGATTCTGATGGCTTAGGAAATTTAGTTGTTGCAAATTTCAGTGGAAACGGATCAGCTAGTCGGTAACGTAAAAAACGAAATTACTTCTCCTTAAATTCCTCGAACATGAATAATAATTTACTTCAGACTGACATGCAAGGTATTCCTAATCCAATTCATTAGCATGAGTAATTAAATGCACAGAAAAGTTTCGAATTCAATAACTCTTTCAATCAATAGCCAAGCATTGAAAACTATCTGACTAGGGATATTCAGGGTCCAGGGGGCACTAATGATGTAATAATGCCTCATGTTAAAATTGATACTCACTAGTCTGTTAATAGTCTTTACAGAGAAGGAATTACATTAATGAATAATCTTAGTATTTCAAATAACATGAATATCAATGGAGCTAATGGTAATAACTATTAGTTTGAGTAGTCTAAGGAGTTTCAAGTATCATCAAATGTGATTAACAATGATTAGCGATTGTGGAATGAGGAAGAAATCTTTTCAACTAATCTTGCCACTGTACCAGTTAGAATGTAGCAGAAAGAATCTGTATAAGACAGCATTGATAATATTTAGCATCATATAGGTGAGAAATAGAAAATGCTAATTCAAAAATCTTATAAAGCTTTTGGCAACATGAATGCTTAAAAACTAATTCAAGAATTTGTAGCACCTTAGAGTTAAAATAATTTCTATCAGATGTATGTGAATTCTAAAAATCAGCATAATAATTCAGCAGATCAAAATATCCTTAAGAAACCCAAGACTTTATAGAGGGGTAACGAACCTAAACCTGTTAATATTGAGAAAGTTATCAAGGACTCATATAAATCTCTTATAACAGTGAATAATTAAAAATAGAACTTGAACAACCTATATGGTAAATTCCACAAGCATTCTAGTTTTCTGCCATCAAGTGAGAATCTTGAGTATACTAGCTAAGTTACATTTAAGAACTCAAATCTTCAAAATCTAATGTGAGCATTTCATTTTTACTTATTGATTTGTTTAATATAGGATATCAAACATTAATGAAACTAATTCAATAATCAGTGGTTTAGATTCAACACAATCTCCTAAAAAGAAAAGGATCTCATATAAGGAAGATTTGACTAAGCAAGATAAGATATTTTCTGTCAAAGAGTAATTGGAAGAGGAGGAAGTAGCCTTACTCTAAACATAAGATATCTTTACGAAGCAGGTATTACGAGCTAAAGATAAAAAGTAGCAAGAATCTCTAAATACCCAATCTTATGGAAGTGTTCTTTATTCCAAGAGGAAAAATGATTTTAATGATGTAGAATTGTAAAAGTCAGGGCAGAGCTCAAGCATGAAAAGATAATCTTTTATAATAGATTAATTCTAAGCTTCTTCCATTTTTGTTAAAAACAGGCTTTTGTCTCAACCTAGAGAAAATATGAGTCTTCAAAAGTAAATCTACAGATAAAAGCTAGAAAAGAAAGGTTATGCTTTAAATATGAATGCAATAAAAAAGAAACTGCTGACTTAGGAAGAGCATGCAGCAGCAACCACTTATTTTACAACTGGAAAAATAAAAGTTATGACTTAAGACTTGAATTCAGAGAGGCTAGATTCTTCAATGAACAAACTCCCTTTGTTTAAATAAGGCACAAGTCAAGATTAAACTCCAGTTATAGTCTAAAGCACCCTTAGAGAAAAGTCTGGGCACAAAAAGTATCGATCACAAGTGCAAATGAGCCCCATCCAGATGAGATAAACTTAATATGGCTAAACCCCAACAGTATTTGAGTCAAATAAGTTAATCACAAAAAAGACTCCTTTGTCAAATGGCGGCCATTCAGTTAATTTGACTAATCATGATTGGGGAACTCCCTCTAAGTATATCATCTCAAATTTTAATGACTCTAAACTACTTAAAGAAAGATTGAAATCTCGAGAAAAAGGTTCAACAACTACAATAAATTTTAAGAACACAAAAATCACAGATGATTTAAGTAGAGACGCTGCATAGATTCTCAGAGAAGATAAACTAAATAATGGAGTGAGAGCTTCTAATTACATGAGTTTTAAGATACCTGATTTACAAAAGAGCTTTAAGAATAGTACAGATACAATGAAGAATATGTAAATAGAGTAAGTTAGGAGCTAAAAATAAAAGATAACGATTGAATAGAAACTTTCAACTATTTCTAAGAATCATAACACTTATACTAATACTCGTGAAAAAAGATTAAGCACTGCTGAGAACAAATTCTATAATTACATCTCCGATAGAGTCGATGAAATGAGTAGACTGGCATCAAATTCACTTAGAAGAGATAAGCCTAAGAGGCAAACTATATTTTGATGAGTAGAAATATAATGTTAATTTCATAAATTTTATTATCTAAGAATCATATTGATGCGGGGTTTTGGGGTTTTGGGGTTTTGGGG